CTTTTCATCACATGAATGGGATACAGAAATAACTGTGCAATCGATCAAAACATGTAGCAGAACCATGTTTAATGAAACTAGAATCGATCAGTCCATATACAGAAAACCTTTGCAGTATATTTTATAAAAATTATATTACGTACAGATATATCTTCAGCTTGAAAGATCATACTAGATGGAAGTGTTTCTTCTTCAAACAAACGAATGAATCTTTCAAAATCTTCCAATGTTGAAACAACAACTTCGATCATTGACAAAAAATGGTAAATTAGTGAACAGATGCAACCAGTGTTTTCGTTCGGACATCTCGTATCTGAATTCTTCAAGGCTGAAAAATATTTCACAAAATAATCGTACTTCATCTAATGTGCTGAATGTATAGCATTCATACGAGAACTTTTTAATCGTTTTATTTAAAAATATTTACATAACTGTTGATTATTAAAGAGTAATTTCAAACTGGAGAAACTCCAAGACAATGATGATCATCGAGGTATACTCTTCAGAATTCCAAGTAATACAGATGCGATATATTTTCTACCAGACCCTCTAACATGTTAATATGCTCAACATATGACAGATTAACTACTAAAAACAGAAACCTCAATACTTACTGTCTTTTTAAAATATCAAAACTTCCAAAATCCCCAGGCGAGCAAAGAACAGGTAAAAAGACTAGTATCGGAATTTTAAAAATAGGCCATCGGGGAAAATGCTCATAACTTTTGAACGAAGATAGCTAGAGCCCTGCAGTTTTCACCATTCGAAAGGGGAGGCAAGGAGACGCGTTTTCCTTCAATATTGTATAGGACGAAATCATTTAAAAATCAGTCATTTCTACAAAATATCGAAAAAATGTATAAAAAACGATCTGTCATTTAGATGAAATTTTGACGAAAAGTAAAAAAATACGCTTAAAAATCAAAAGAACTCTGCAAGTTTTCGTGCGATTGAATAGATAAGTTTATTTGTTCAACATTAGGAGGTGGAAAGATAATCATTCGAATTATATCTTATTTTAATGAATCTCAAATAATAACTTAGTTTAAACGTATTAAATTGCTTGAACAAATGAAGCCTAATGAGTTATTATTAATCTTAATAAAAATTCGTTGAAGAAAATATCAACAAATGATTGTTACGTGTAGAGCGAACGGTAAAAATTGTCTGGTCACATGCTCTCGTATCTTATTCCCTGCGCGTATTTCGTTAACATGAGAGAACTGACTAATGTATCTTTCTTCTTTTCTTTTCATACATTAATTACAGGTAATATTTATCACGTGTACAACCAAAAGACATCGTTGCTGATAGGCTCTTCTTTTTTTCACTAAGATGAAAGAAAGTCGATCTATGCATCAGTGATTACTGCAATAAAGAAGAGATAAAAATGTGTGCTATTCATATTTCCACTTCATGATTTTGTATTCGTTTGATTTCATAACTAGTGCAATAAATTGTTTTACTTCGATTGACATTATCGTTGAATATTTTCCAACGGTAATACAACAATATTATCTGTATGTAGTTTACTCTAATTAAATGATATCTTTTCATATTGAAACTTTTAGTCCTAAGAAAAGTGTGTACTTTCGAGTTATATCGTATTTTATTCTTGCAACCAGGCAAAGATGCAAGATCTACACATGTGTAAAAGTACGCACTCAAGAAAATTCTTCCAGTTTGAGAAAGTTTTCAAAACATATACTATTAAGTTTTTCTTATAGAAATAAGAGGTATAGTTTTGTGCACGGCTTCTTTACTGTACAGTATCGAATCAAGACTACTGTAATTAATCGATAATTGCTAGAAATTAATTTTTTTTTCTAAGACATCTTTGTATGTTCGTTAAATAAAATCTTTTCTTTTCGTTTTTTTCTTGGTAGTACAAGTTAAAAGAAATTAATTGACTTTTATTCAAGAGGAAAACAGCACACTCTAGTCTCATGGAGTTCTTGAGAGTCCCGTGTGAGATCCTCGTCAAATCTTTAGAAATCCGTTATAGAAATTTGATACTGCTATGTCTTGGTTTTTTTTATCAATTGCAACATCAGATGACATAGCTGTTCGTCTCGATTTAGAGACAAACATACGCCATTCTTTCCATATTGATATTGAGCACGTCCACATCCCAACTATACCATTATCAGTCATGATTCCATAAAACTCAACTTTATTCACATCATCTTCTATCTCAATATCAACAGATGATGATGAAAGTATTAGAAAATACTCATCATTGTTAGAAACTAAAAGACAAGTAAAAATAACAAAAAGTTCAAACAATAGAATCTTGATACAACACAAGAGAGTCAGCAACAAGAATGAGAAGAAGATAATAGTTACATGCGAAATATTATCTTGTTTGTATTTCTCGAATTACTTCTTTGATGGTCTCTTATGCAGTAAGGTCTTATTTCAAATTGATGTTTTTTTTAAACTTAGTAATTCACTTATTGTTCTCGGTCATGTTTGGCCTGTCAAGTAATTGATTGTTTTTATATTTATACGTTCGGTTCTTTAAGTTTTTTTCACATTTTACCAGTGTTCTTTAAGCAAATACATAAGATATTGATAGTACTTAAAAACAAAAACTTTACTTGTTTGAGTGACCGCTTATTGAAAGATTTTTGTAGCCTCTGCAAAAGTTCGCGTTTTTGTTTTTACTGGCATTATATTTTTTCTTTGTTTTTAATAACTGATCGTGAAAAGCAGCAGATGTTTATTATAGTAAATAGTTCAGGCAAGAATGGAATCCCTCAGAGCCCTTTGGAGTTCCAGAGCTCGCCATTTCTCTCTTGCTTTTATTTCGATAGTTGAGGAAATTATTTAAACAATTTCCCTTCGTTTGAGAAAATTTTTCATTTTACCAGTAGATTCTGCATTCGAGTTTATGCAACACTATTGAAATACTCTGTTTACATGTCTTCCGAGCAGTTCTTATACTTAGAATTTTCTATAAAAATAAAATGTGAACTTGATCATGCAGTATTGTAATAATTGAATTTCGAGTTCAATTATTTAAGTCATGGTGACAGGAGGAGGAGTCGTTGGATTCAATGCTTTCTTAAACTTGAGATTGTTCTTGTCTATTTGTACAGGTACATTAGCACGCCATGTCTACAAATGTAGAACAACAGCAAGAGATCCTGTCAACACCACTGTTACCCAATGGTGGGCTATTTACTGTCTCATCTTCAATTTTGATTTCGGCCCCTGCCTCACGTGTTTTCGCTGCTATCATCGATACTGCAAACTACCACAAATGGAACACTTTCGTACCATTTGTCGAGATTCTCAAACAACCATCAGGCCATAATGACAACGTCGAGAAATTGAGAGTAGGCACCGACATGCGCTTCACAGTGTATATGAAGCCAGGTGCCTCGGCGAGATCAATTCTTCTACAAGTTACTGTGCTTGATTCAGAGGCATATAAAATATGCTGGAAGTTCAACGGCGGTCCTTCTTGGTTTTTGCGAACTGAACGAGTGCAGAAAATGACAGACAAGGAGAACGGCACATGTGAGTATCGTACATGGGAAACGTTTGCTGGACCAATGGCGTATATCATACGATTTATCAGCGGCAACGACTTACGTGAGCGATTTAATGACTGGGGACGTGATCTGAAGCGTTACGTAGAAGAAGCATGGCTTGAATCATGCGGAAAGAATGCTCTTTGAAACATAGATTTGTATGAATATGTGTGTCTCTGCTTATTGAAAAATGTAGAAAAAATAAAACGACACTACCTTTCGCGACACGTTTTAACATATACTACAGTTCAGAGATGGAATCGGTCCACTTTTTTTCAGACCGGTACCGGTGCGGGTCTGGAGAAAGGTAGACCGGACCGGACCGGCCGGTATACCGGCTTGATCGGTCTAGGGTGTGGGTGTGGGGTGGGGTGTGGGTGTGGGTGTGGGTGTGGGTGTGGGTGTGGGTGAGTGTGGATGTGGATGTGGGTGTGGGTGGGTGTGGGTGGGTGTGGATGGGTGTGGGTGTGGGTGATGAGAAGATATTCACACCCACACCCACATCCACACCTCACCCACATCCACACCTCACCCACATCCACACCTCACCCACATCCACACCTCACCCACACCCACACTTCACCCACACCCACACTTCACCCACACTTCACCCACACCCACACTTCACCCACACCCACACCCCACCAAGAAAGGAAAAAAATGCAAGGAATAAAATCGTTAGGCATCAGATTAGAGAGAAAGAAAAGAAAGAAAGTGTGTATTTAATGCTCTCGAGATGCACAAGTGAGATTGCGTTTCATAATGATTCCAACAAGAAATGACTGTATTTATAGCAAGTGACGAAAGTAATGTACAGGACATTTTTCGGCATCGAACTCCATTTCTACATTTTTTTCCCTATGAAATGTAAAGCTCTATCCGTGACTATGAACCATAGAATCGAAATGTTTCGGTCCTAAAATTTATGTTGTCTCAGATAAAACAATCAGACGACATTGTTCAAGAAATTATGACTTTAGAAATGTTACATCGAATTGAGGATGGAAGTTAGAGTACTGCAACCCGACTCTACCTATACGGGTATGGTTGATATTCGGGCATGTTTTTTGGCTCGTAGAGTAAGATCAAGCGGGTTAGAGATTTAGGTATGCACTGCGGATCAAGTGTTTTTGAGCGAATTCTTTAATCAAATTAGAAGAAAGTGTGATATCCTTCAACATAATGTGATCTATATAGTCGGACTATGTTTTAAAAGAGTTGCAAGCGTTCTTTTCAGTATTGTAGACAAGCCATAATTCGATCAAAATCCTATTGAAATCTGGTCATCGGAACGACCGACCTGAGAAAGCTAACTTTTAAAATATTTATTTTGTTTCACTCAATTTATGAAAACTGTACAGACACGATAAAAGACCACCGTCTATTAAAACATTTGAAAAATTTTACTGAGTTTATGTGAATATGTTTTTAAAAATAGTTGTAACAAAAGCCACACTGTTGTCATGAAACATTAAAAAAGTGCCAACACATAATCAACATCGGTGCTATTGTTAGGCTCATAAATGCACTATGCTACAAAGAAAAATCATATATTAAATACTGTTACTTTTGCATAGCTATACTGTCTTCAAAACTGCATTATTTGTTTGTGTGTTTGATTGAATCGAGCTAGAATTACTGCTCACGAATGTTGATGCTGCAAACAGAAAACAAACGAAATGTCTTTCTAATGCACTAAATGACAGAAAAGAAAAAATATTGTTTCTTTTACAATTTATGGAGATTAAAATGTAAGAATGTTTTTTTCTTCTAACGTACGATGCAAAAGTAGTGAGACAGATGTCGAGTTCGATTGTAATCTGTCAGGACATGGTAGAAACTGGATTCTTTCTCTACCGGATAGAACTGACTCTCCGGACTAGTACTGCATGTTTCGTACAAAAGTTTTGCACTTCTTAGCTGCTACAAATTTCGACATGAAAATGGCGCCAAAAACGTCCTGTTACAATCGTGCTTTTTCGCCTTGATTAATATATTAAAATTAGATTATCTCCCGCATATGTAAATGGATCAAGCTAATACTTTCCGAAATGACTTGTCTGAGTATCAGCTCTCGGAAAAGACTTGTTCCATACTACTTTGCCTTCATACTAAAGTTTAGATAGGTTTTTGTCAAGCAGAGTTACACTCTTGTCAATTTTCGACTATCAGGTCAGTTTTTTACGGCAATTTGCGAAGGAATTTTGTTCCGAACAGGCTGTTGTTTTTAACTTTTCACGCTCTTTTTGAATATCGAATTCACACTCACTAGTCTTGAAACATAAACTCAACCGTTTTGTCAACAATAATCTGTTTGAAAAGCCATTCGGCACTAATTTTCTTTTTTTTACTAAAGAATGGCAGGTCAAAATCTCGGTCTTTCGGGGATAATTCACGCTAAAACTTATATTGGAGACAGCGTCTCAATTGCACAATGTCAAAGCACAAAATTTTCCTTTTTGGAAACACATAAATGTGGAATCGCAAAAGATACTCTCAAATTAAGTTTGTAACACGGAGTTTTTGGCACCATTTTCGTGTCGAAATTTAGAGCATCTAGGAAGTGCGAAACTTTTGTACGAAACATGCAGTACTAGTCTGGAGAGTCAGTTCTATCCGGTAGAGAAAGAATCCAGTTTCCATCATGCAATCGAACTCAACATCAATCTCATTACTTTTGCATCATGCGTTATTTCTTATCTATGAATAAATCAAATTTTTTTAAAAGCTCATAATCAAGTTTTCTGGTATTTCTTTTTTTTACCAAAAAGAATTTATAAGTTTGATAGACAACAAAATTTTCTATTTTCTCGAGAACCTATAAAAATCTAATTGATTACGATTTTATTACGGATGGCCAAAAAAAGTCGAATAGTAGTAGTATTGATTTATAGTAATAATTATAAAAGTGGTTATCTACTTCGACCAAAAGCTTACTTGAGATGAAATAATAATATAATTAACATAGTTAAATGTTCACTTTCATTTTTTACAAATACATCAAAAGTTTATAGTATTGAAGATGCACCAAAATAACTTATTAGCTGAGGGTGAATGATAAAATTCTTTTACTTATATCTGTTGAATTTGTGAATAGGGAACTGATATATTACGTCAACTAACAGTTTTTTGAATGAATAGATCATATAACACATGATAATCAATTCTTACATACATAATAATGAGGTGGTTGCGTTCGTTATAAAAGTTGATGTTATTGATCCAATATTTGTGTTAGTACTTCCATTGTTCATGTTTGTACTTGTGTTGATAGTAATACTAGTTACTTGATAGATAAATGAAACAAATAAATGGCTTTTTAGTGATACATCTTATTCATTGTTACCTGTCGATACCACTGTTGTTGAAACAGTCGCTAGAATAAGACAAAACAATGATATACTCATATTGATATAAACAATCAATAAAACCTAATACTCACCACTGACTGAACAAGGATTAATGATTTGATATTTCAGTACTCGGTAAGATGCGCAATCTGCTACGTAGAGATTACCAGTGGCATCAAATTTTATTCCATAATTTGTGTAAAGTTGATTCAAAGCAGTGCCTGCACTACCACCAGCTATTACTATACCAGTTGAGCTACCAGGTAACCATTTTGTTACACGATTATTAAAAGTTTCAGATACATACACAGTTCCATACTGATCGACTAAAACAAATGTTGGAGTGTTAAGTTGATTGAGAGCTGTTCCTGGCCCATTGCCTCCAGCGACGATTACACCTATATTAAAATATAAATTCAAAGAACATTGTATATAATTGAATAAATATCAATGCTGGATGAATGACCTGATGTAGCATTCATTAGCCATTTAATCACGCGATGATTGTTCATATCAGCAATGTACATACTTGAATTTGAGTCTAAATAGATACCGGCAGGTGTATCAAGTTGAGACAAACTTGATCCACGAGTTGAATTTCCAGCAACTCGACGTGTTGCTCCACTTAAAGTCTGTTCAATCACATGATGATTAGTTGAACAAGAGTAATATATATTTTGATTAACATCAACAAAAATCCCACCACTTGTGTTGACAGCAGCCACTATCGAGATAATATTTGTAGTACTCAATTTTTTAATCAAATTATTTCCAAAATCATTGATGTAAAGATTATCATTCAGATCAAGGAACAGTGAAGTCGGTGAATAGTAAGTTGAACCTCCTGGAATATTCATGCCCATGCTGGACCCATTAGAAAATTGTAGAGTACGATTATTGTAATGATCGGTAACATAGAGAGTAAGACTTGATGTCAAAGCAATATCTGTTGGACAATTTAGTTGATCGAAAGCCGAACCTTGTCCATTAACACCTGCTATAATGGTTCCATTTGAATTCCACGATGCTGTTGGACAAACCGCTAAAGTGATTGACGATTGGCCTAGACAAGCAACAGTATTATACTGAGCACTCGTATGAAATATTTTCAAATAAAACCAGTGTACTGACCTCGTACAAAAGTATTTGCCGTTAAACTGAAAAAAATAAAAAGATACAAGAAATGAACATTATATTAATATTTTGCTTACAATAAACTTAATGTAAACAGGTAGATTACCATTCTATATTACTTGCTATTTGTCAGTGAATTTTATCGTACGAATGCTTGTATTTTGATGCTTTTTATAGGCAAAATAATTCTGTCGTATAAATCTTCTTTTTCGCGGAATTGGAAAGTGTACTTAACTTTGTTTGTTTATTATTACTTCCAAACACAACTTATATAGAAGAGGGGTGTAGGTGTGGATGTGGGTGTGCGGGTGTGGGTGTGCGGATGTGGGGTATGGGTGTGTGAGTGCCGGTGTGGTGGGTGTGGATGTGGGTGTGCGGGTGTGGGTGTGCGGGTGTGGGTGTGCGGATGTGGGGTGTGGGTGTGTGGGTGCCGGTGTTGTGGGTGTGGGCATGTTGGGTGTGAGTGTGCGTGGTGGATGTGGGCATGTTGGGTGTTGGTGTGCGTGGTGGGTGTGCGGGTGTGGGTGTGGGTGTGGGTGTGAGTGTAATGGATAGAGATCTACGGAGTCAGGTTTTTTTATTGCGAAACCTGACTCCGACTTCGAAAAATTTCGTTTTGCTGACTCCGACTCCGACGGAGTCAGACTTGGAATCGGGTTTCGGAGTATTCCGTAGGTCTCTAGTGTTGGGTGTGGGTGTGGTGGATGTAGATAGGTGCTAGTGTGGGTGTTGATCTCTTCCTCACCCACACTCACACCCCAGGTCAGATAGAGGTTATTGCTTGCATTTTATCCGGCATTTTACAGCACCCCTCCGTCAACTGATGATTCGAATTCCGACAAAAATTGTTTGCCTCTTCGTCTATTTCTTTATTCACAAGTTGACTCAGACTTGTTGTTTCGTTTTTTAGGAATGATTTCAAACTGCGATGACTGTATTCATAATTGAATTCAAATTAAGCAATCTAGGTAGACCAGAAAATGAAAACGAAAGGAGAGAAATCCAGTGTGCCTCTTTCGTCATTACCTTTCACAAACAAAAAACAATATTTTCTCTGATTACATGTAAAACCTACTGTATCGTATATATTTTCTCGTTCTGTCGTTCGTCATTTCGTTGTCATCAGGAATTGCGTCGATGTTGGCTGTTTTTTCTTTCGCACTGTGCAGCCATAAGAAGAAACAGAGTGAAAAATCGACAGATCGCTGATGGCAAGCGAGTGTGGGTGTGTGTAAGTGTTGATTACTTCTTCACACATCCATACCCGCATCCTTTGCTAAATAGGGACTTCAAGAAAAAAATAAAAATGACTTTTCATATTAAATTGTGCACTTGTAGGATGAGGTTGAATATTTGTTGCAAGGTATTAGTAGAAATTCATTCAAATTTTATTTTCCAAATTCAGATTAAAAGTTCCGCATTGAAATAGGATGTGAGTCTTTGATGCTAGGATCCAGATTTCACGTTCCCCGTAGTAGAACGATTGCCAGTTGGCTTTGACTCTGTTTGTTTTTTTTTAAATGATTCCGAAAAAAGCTACAAAAAATACAACTATCTATACAGCATTAAAGAAAAAAAACAAAAGATGTAGGTATCAGTACGGTTGTCAGTGAAGGTCATCTCTTGAACTACGCTCACACCCATTAAATTTCATAAAAACCAATTCAACTATGAAGGCATACATATTTGAAAACTCTTTTTTTCTATTCTCTAGTTGTTAAAATAAGTCATAAAAAGTTTTCGTATTGTTTTATCATTCGATCTTATCTCAAAGAAAACACAGAGACTTAGCGACGCAGAAAATATGCATGTACACCCCACTTTAAGAAAATTTTCATTTTTTCTCAGCAAGAATCGTTCTTTTTATTGAAGACAAAGGGTCATAGAATGAAAAAACGTGGACCTCTTCCTTTAAAATAATTTGATATACATCCTGCTAGCTCTCAACAAATTCTTTCTGCACTTACCGTCTCTCCCATCCCATTTTTCTTTTCTTCGCCATATCTCTACACAAACGAAAAGCAAAAGAAAAACATTTATACTACTTGAATAAACGAACTTCTTACAGGTAAATTTTCATATATGTTTTAACATAGATCTGGGTGTGGGTGTGGGTGTAGGTGTGAGTGTAGGTATCTTCTCTTTAATACACCCACACCCACAAAGATAAGACATATACTTTTGTTTTCGATTGAGTTCGATTCCAAACAACGAGTTTATAACTATTTTTTAATATGTTTTCAGCGATTCCGGTACCCATGCCGCCCAAGCCCAAAACAGCTACTATCAAGTTCTCTTTTGAAGCCATTTCTTTCTCGACTGAAACGTAAAAACTAACGATTGTGTTTCTATCAACAGTAGACAAAGAGAGATATAAGGATGATAAAGCACAAGATACATCTTGGCTTGTATTCTATTTTATCTTTCGACAAAGCAAAAGATGGAGTATGCGTTGAGAAGCATTTTACTAGTATAGATTTGTATGAGAAAACAAAGCAAATATTTGAACAGATTTGAAGGTTTTAATAATTCAATAAAATTTTTCTTAGCGTTCTGATTGTGTCTCGACACAAATAAAAAATCGAATGAATAAAGAGAAGGAGATATGTTTTGACATTATTCGTAGCAGAGTTGGAATCAAATCGGTATACCAGCGAGACCTGTTCGATCCGCTATAAACATTGTACTGAATCGGTACAGCATTCGAAATAGAATACCATTTTCGGCGGGATTTTCATAAGATTCTTCAATGTTCACTCCTTTTCTTGTATTATTCAATGATCAAAAGCATCACAAGTATTGATGTGTGTATATTTGAAGAGAAAGATGACTTGAGATTGTACTCAAATTTCATTTGAAATCATGTAATATATAACCGATAAGTGACCTCTATTCTACTAGTAAGCACCGATTTTATGCCGATATTTTGCCGGTATAGAAATTTCTGTTACCGGCCGGTATAACGACCGGTTCCAACTCTGATGCGTACGAAGAAAGAGATAGAATTTGAGCACGGAACGACTTCGAAACGAATATAATCCACATTCACAGTATATACAATCTTGTTTCGTTCAGTCTCTTCGCATAGATTTCTGTTTTTTAGTTCCGAAACAACCAGCACTTATTGCAAAAGAACGATTGCTCATGAGTGTTATATGATATAGCAAGAAAAGTGAATCCTCCAGCCTGCCCCACAAACTGTGAAAGACATTTTCACCATAGACCGAAATGAGCTTAAAAAGGCTGTGAGTGTGGGCGTGGGAGTGGATGTCGGTGGGTGAGTATGGGATATGGATGTTACCATTCTTCTCACCTACACTCACAATCACAACCACACCCACACCCGCTTTTAGGAAGGTGATTTACTTAATTCTTGTATTAAAAAACGAACCCTAATATAGCTCGAGCAAGGGGCGAAAAATAAGAAAGTTTTCATGAAGATCGAAGGAAGATTTTGAATTGTTTCTCCAATGTTCCACAAATATGATTCAATATCTATTCAAAGTGTGACCTCGGTGGATGCTAGTTTGAAAAGAACTCGAATATCAACGCCTAAATTTTGTCCTGTTTACAATTTTTCCACAGTTTTCGTTGCTGAATAATTATATTCTTGGGTTTCAATTAGTTCCTTTTCAATGGGGTGTTGATCTTATGTGATTATAGAAACTAAATAGAGTTCCAATACGAAAACAGGCTTATGACATTCATATTGGTAATTCGGTCTAATGAACTCTAAATATGGCACTTAGTTTAGAGAAAGAAGAAGAGCACTACGTAGTTTAGCGCACTCTACTAATAAGAGCTGAATACATCGATACCTTGTAAGTATATATCAAGCGAACTCTACACCTTCCTAAAAAATATAGAAATAATGTAGAAAACAGGAGCGAACTCTACAAATTTTAATTCTTCAAACAAAATGGTTGTTGAAATTCGTTTTAGTAAAAACTATTAAATAATAAAAGCAAACGATTTTGATTTTCGGAGTTCTTTTCAAGAAATGAATTTTAGCGAATTCAAAACCGAAAATTTGACACTGTCAATCACTTTGAATCGGAAAAATTCAAATTAATTAAAAAATGAAGTATAATTTAATTTAATAAACTTTGAGTTTTCGATTTTATGTTCACAAATGAGAGGATACCATTTTAAATAACGTTAATAAATGCGTCAATCTCGATGAATTTCATGTCGAGACACCGGACGAAGAAAAAAAGAAGAAGAAGAAAAATTACTACAGCTATGAGATTCATCATTTTTCTGCTATTATTATTAGTCTTGTAATTGTAAACGTTGATTTTCTTGTGCATATCGCATCATCATTTATTCCACTTTGTCAAATTATACTATAGAAGTAGGACACAAATACATGCGTACGCAAACTAAAATAGTTATATTCGTCCTACTTCTAAATCTAGTTCAGTTGAATTGATAGAACAAAGCAATGAGACAACTATCGACGCACACTTAAATCTTTCTATTTGTGGGTGGGTGTGGGTGTGGGTGTGGGTGTGGATATGAACGTGAGAGAAAACACGCACACCCACACCAACACCCACACCCACACCTACACCTACACCCCACACCCACCCACACCCACACCCACACATCCACACCCCACCCACACCCATACCCCGCACCCACACCCACACCCACACCCTAGTGTCAAGTAGTGGCAAACAAGTTATTACAGCCGGTGTTATGCTATTTGTGTTGATAGTGATTTTTTATGGCCTACAATTAATTTATCATATTCGTACGAAACGAAAATATCCATCGATCAAGACAGAAAAGTTTGTTCTGTGATGCATAAATACTGATTCCTTCTAGTTTCGTGTAATAGATTAAACACTCATAATGTTCATCGAAAATTTTCAACTGTCTCTACTGTTGAACTAAAATCTTCTCGTCATATTCTTTCATTTATTATTGTTATTGGTACTCTCATATTAGCTACAGCTACTCTCATCATCAAATGAACCATTCTACAACTTATTCATAATGATATAATTAATAAATTCAAGAAGAATGAATCACTTTTCTTTCAAAGACATTCAATTTGTAAAGTGATCGATGTTCGGCAAGAGTTCAATGTCATTACTCTTCCTGCTGCATGTTTGCTCATTGTGATTTTCTCTCTGACTACAAAAAGAGTCTCATTTCAAC